ACACCTGAATGGCTAACAGCTTTGATTACTTTAGCCTCTAATAGTAAACATAGCCTATTCTCTGGATCATACTTTAATTATATGTCAGCAAGCTTCAAAATTAGATTTAGAGGGGAAAAGAGAGGATAAAGTCACATTCAGATAGTTAAAACACAGAATCAAATCTGTCTGAAGCAGAACTGGTTAGATCTGCACCATGCAGGGTCTGAGCCCAAGCTCTCTCAGGCCGCAGTCTTTCGTAGCCTTCTCCACCTTACTGGATTTTTCCCTTTTGTTGAAATTTCCCTTTAGCAATCAGCTCAGCAAAATAAAATACCTAAGAGAGAAAGTTACCTTTTAATATCTAAAAAGAGCAGTCTGCAGGATAGGTTTTGATAACTTTTAGATTAATTCAAAAATTATGATAAGAATAGCTCTTTTCACTATTCTTAATGGCTATTGAGGCCATAAACCCCTTAGAAGGAAAACAAAACTCTTGACCTTCAAGACTGCAACGTCATCTGTCTGTTTGAAAAAGCATGTGCACAGAGCGATCCACTGGATCTCTTTCACTGGAGTTTCACGCCATACTTTCTTAAGCCAATATGCTAAACTAGAAGTGTGAGTTACTTTTGAAGCACTGGATATTTTCCAGTGTTTCCATCTCATGGAGGGTGCATTATCTATCATCCCTAATATGTTTCAACATGAAGAATTAGTTTTCTGTTAAAGTGCTTAAGATTCAATGCCCACCACAATGACCTTCAATTTGAACTCGATCTTATAATGTTGCCAGTAAATTCCTTGGGATCTGCTGAACAGCTTCTAATTCTCCCCATCTTGTTTCCCCTTTCTATGTGACGTGTTCTAGACTCCATTTTTTGTCAGAAATACCCAGAGGTCTATTTCCACAGACCAAAAAGAGACAACATCACAGGCAATCAGAGATATTATCTCTTATTAAAGGAAAATTCTTTGGGGATGTTCTAGTAATCCTAATCGATTAACCTATAATCCATTTTCCACTTGACTCATTCTTACTGTAATAATAATTTTTTCAGTCTTCAGCAAGTCAAACCTCATTGAACAGGGCCTCTCAGGCCATTCTGCAATTATCTGCCATTCAGAATTTGGTCTTACATTTTTCAAGACGGTTAGCAGTCAAAAAGTTCACCTAACTGGCTGGAATCCAAACTGTGGATCATATATTTCATCACTTGATCTGTTTTCCCTTCTTCTCCTATTACCATTATACTGGATCACAGATGTATTTAGCTCAACCCTCTTGCTTCTTTGTAAGACTGAAATAGATAAGCACATGGGTCACAGAAAAACGTGTGAGAAAAAACCCTGTTTTGCCCCAGTGAATTTTGGAATTTCAAGCCTGTGCCTTACCTCTGAGGAACCTGTGCACATGCCAGAAATAACCTTGGACTATGTGAGTCCTAAGCTGTGATTTAGTAGCAATATGTTCCACATTACCCTTTTTTTTTTTTTTTAGAATAAAATTTACATGTTCCTCTGCTCAGCCCACCCCATGAGCTCCTTTTAACTTCTAACTCCAACCCTTTGTTCACCTCCTGGAAAGAGGAGAGCACCCATTTCCCCAGCTTTACTGTGACTAGCACAGACTGGTGAATATGCGCTGCAAGCTGCTACCTCATGCAACATGTTTTCCTGGAGCTGCTGCTCCTCAACAGCTTACTGTATGCAAGCTCTTATCTTCCCATGGGCACTTACCACAGATCAGCTCACATAGAGGACAGGGGGAGAAAGGTGCAAGTTTAATAGGTTTCAAGCTGTTACTTGCATTATAGGTGCATAAAGACATTCCTGTACGTATGCAGAAGTACTCCAGTGTTGCTCAGGCATTGCTAGAAGTGTCAAATTTGCAAGCCTATAGGGCAGGGCTTGCTTTTAGTATCTCATACGTGGCATAGATTCAAACTGCACTTGCAACACTAAAACTAGCCTCTTTGCTGCAGTAACAAGAATATTCCTACAATGCGTTGCGACTCCTGACTAACTGAACTCTCGTGCTGAGTTACTGCAGCTTCTGCGTTTCAGGCACGTGGCTTTTTGCCATGGTCCATTGAATAGTCTTCTCACATGATCAGCCGCGTTTTGCTTACTTAAATTCACTGCAGTTCTGGTTTGATACTGGGTTGCTTTTCACCACCTCTTCAGCAGTCTAGCTTTTCTGCTTCACTGCAGCACTGGAGGCAATTTAGCACTGGAGGGACTTAGCTGTAAAGAGAGAATCTGACTGCAAAATTTCTTGCAAATGAAAGATAAAACCTCTGAAACTCCTTTAGTGAGCTAAAGGAAATAAATGAATGAGATAGCAGGGACAAAAGTGAAACACTCACTTAACTGAAACCTCATTTCAGTTTATTTTTCTGCAGTTGATTAAGTATTAAGGAAAATGGATGTAGAAAGCACATTTTAAAGCAATCAAGTACTGCCAGAAATCAAATCAACAATTTGAAAAGCCAACAACACTGCTCTCTGGCATCTGATAAAATAAGATATTTGACAGGGAACAATATGTGCAGCACTGGCTAATTGAGAGGCAAGGGGAAGAACAATCATAGCTGCATTACTGACTTTACAGAACATCTCCTGTGTACCACAGGGACAATAAGAATTTTTGGAATCCTCCTGCCTTGCTGCAGCAAGCCAGCAGTTGCTTACATTCCCATTGACATTGTATGAGAATGTACCCTAAGCAGCCACACAGAAATAGCAGCTGTAGTGACTGAAATTGCGAAAATTTGCCTTTAAACTGCGTTTAATCACACACTTTCCTCTGCTGGTGAAGAGATATGGGATAAGAAACAAACAGGAAAGAAATCTTCATTAAAGTTTGCTCTGTTCGCAGCATCCTTTGTTATAGCTCATCGATGCGTCTTACAACCCTATACCAATTTATACGGAATGGAATAGGTTTATTCCAGTTTTAGTTCCACTATAGATTAGGCTGACTGGGTGTTTTTTCAAAGTGTCAGTATTAGAATAAGGGCAGGACTTCAGTTTTGCTGCCTTCTAGTTTTGAGCTGTAGCTAAACACAGTGTTAGCTCTACCTATGAACGTGTCTACATTTTTAGAAGCTCCGGCAGAAGTTTCGTGGCTAGGGTTTATTCATGGTAGACGATTCGCTATCATTTTTTCATGTAATTTTAGAAAATTAAAATGATCCTTACAACACAGGCAACATGCAGCTTTGTCAGGTACCCAGACAATGGGAACCTAGCAATGTGCCTCCACCCCGAGCTGCAGCATTTCTGTTGTTTGTTTTGTGAATACTCAATAGGCAAAATCAGGCGTTTGTATCGAGGTGAAAGAAACAATTCCCTTTTTTTCCACGATTAATCTGTGATTCCAAAGGTTAGAAGAACTGAGAAAGAAGTTTTGTATTCGTGTGGTTAATGAGCATATCAAATTATAACAAGCCATAGTAGTAAAAATGAAATATTTAAAAACTCCAGTGTTTTACATTTTTCCCAACATTCATTAGGACTGGTCAACTTCCTTATGAATGGTCTACATCTGCTTAAGTTTCTTGCACTTTTCTTTGAAGAATCTGGTACTATACGCTCCTGAAAGCAAGGAACTACGCTATGGAGTGGTGGGCTGCCTCAGCCCGGCAATCCCTCCCTTCCTGGCTGTGGCATAGTTTCTTGCTTGCTGATACTCCTGACGTTTGTTCCGGTCACCTTTTCCAGTGAAGCCAGTAACGGGGACTGAGACACCTGAACAAACCAATCTTTTGCATCCTTCCCATTCATAAAAAAAAAGGCTATGTAGGGGACGTGCAGTTAATTGGAGAGTGTTACTCAAATGCTTTGATACTAGCCAGTCCTTCCAGTTGTAACAGCCTACCTCACTCAGTAGATTTGTTATCTAAAGATAATACCAGTAACCAGATAGCCAAGACTTAACTTAAAAATCAGTAAAAGAGCAGGCAACCAGGTTAAACAAAGAGTTAAGCAAGCAGGAGGTGTGAAGAGCTGGGAGTCACAGAGCAGATCCTTTCCTGCTGTAACTGCTCACAAGAAATTGGCAAGAAAAAAATCCAAAAGGGTGGAGTATCAGTCTTCTTCATTACTGCCTTTAGCCTCCACAATTTGAATCTAAGTTAATTAAAAAGGATCCAAACTATGCTTCTTAGGACCTGTAGTATCTTCAAATCACTCAATGCCAGGCAACGACTAAAGCCACATGTATCTTTAAAAAATCAACAATAAAACTGAAAACTGAGTGTTTTTCCACAGCGGGTTAAAAGAATATACAACATTTATCTTTCTGTATGTGAAAAATCCCAGCCCCAATTAACAGTTTCCCACTCTTCCATTTTGCCTCTGTAAGAAAGCAGTAACCTGATGGGGATACACAGCCTTTGCAAAAAAGGCTGTCTTCCCTCACAATTCATGTGGTACTCAGCAGGGTTTCTAATAAAGGAACTAAAACACCACCCAATACTGGGCACAGACTCTCACTAAGCTTTCATCATCTTAATTTATGAAGCATGGTAGCAGAAAAGCAAAATATTGAAAGCTGATTTTTCTTTGCACCCATCAATCATCAGTGCATTCACCAAAGTTTTTGAACAGCTGAATTGTGAATACAAATCATGACTTTTCTGCCGTTAAAAAGGCTTCCAGGAAGACAAACAAAACAATGCAAAAACTCAACAGATTTAGGTATTTTACAGCTACATCCAGTTTTTCTAAGTTCTATAATACTTTCTCAACTATACAGTGAAATAAGCACTTGGGTGTGTATATACGCATGTGAGAATATACACATGCATATATACAGAGGAGATATACCATATCTCCTATCACTGGAATTACAGATTTAACAGTGCAAATACACAGCACTGCTTAGACATTACCAAGATTTTAAAATATTAGAATATTGCTATTGGAAGCCGCTTTCACAGTAGTCCACGAAGTACTCATTTGTCAACATCTTCAGAAAGTTTACACAGCTGTTTTGAACTACTGTTTTTTTGCAGAAAATTACTGGCAGTCGTAATGTAATTCGTGGCTATTTAGGACAAGGTGTTAAAAGCAGAGAAAAAGCAGCCATTTTAAGGGTTAGTCAACTGAAGTCCCAAGGAGCAGAAGCAAGGATCAGGCAGCTGAAACCAGTTCTGGGACAAATTTGGAGTGTTCCCACCAAAAAGAGGTGGCATATGGGCTTATGGCATGATACTACTTTCCCTAATATATGTAGTGTTTATGTTGCTCAGCTATGTTTCTATGTCTAAAAGGAACTCATTTGCAATCTATAGTACAAAAGTCCCCATTAGATGTATGTTGCACTTTTCTCTGGCATCACCATCTAGGTTTTAGGGTAATATAAGATTACATGCAAACAACATATCTGAGATTATATCATATCAGGATTTGCCACAACTCCCCCTGTTATTTTTATTCTTCTATTTAAAGTACATTAATTAGCATCAATTGTAAGGTGCATCAGTATATTAAGCAGGATAGTGAGAATGTGTTTCTTCTTTCAGCTCCATCCTTCCCTCCCACCAGTTGTTCCTGGACTGGCAAGCTCCTCAGAGTGAGCTTGCTGCAAGCCAGCAAGCGTTAATGACGGCAGTGCTGTACCCAACAGTGCAACCGCAACACAATGCAGGGCACCCTCTAGATGCTGACTCCTCAGAAGGGAACCCAGACTGATGTTCAGTAAATGGCAATTAGTCCTTCTGGGGGCTATTTTGAAAAAAATTTGTATAAATTCTGCCCAAACAGTAGTTGGTTACACTGTAGCTATGACTTGGGAAGTGCATGGCTGACTCAGGCCTGCCACTGCCATATTGCTCCTGCGCAGCCCATTTGAGGCCTGGAGAATACCTAATCGTCTCAGCCGTCAAGTAAGCTGCGGAAGTCAGGCCAGGATCTGACCTGGGAACATTTTAAATTCTAAAGTATGAGAGATCAATTTAAACATTTACTCTTAATAATCATCCCAGAAGAGCAGCAGCCAAACACATCTCATTTTACGTTTTTCCTTCATTACCAGGTAAAGATGAGAAGGATAGTTCAAAGCCTGAAGAAAGAGCTGAACATCACAAATCAACCAGACCTTCCCATCAGGTGTAACAGCACACGACAAAATGATACCAGCATTGCTGCAATGTGCTTACAGCCTACAATTTTTGGCATTTCAGAGAGCACTGAAAATTAGTTAGGACAGCAAACCAGATTATATAAACACCAATTACAATGTAAAACTTGGGCAAACAGGCAAATGAGGAAGAAATGCATCTTCCAGTGACATGACATAGGAAAACTATGGCAACGATCAGATTAAGATGCTAAGAAAAATACCAGAGCACCAAAGATGGCATTTTTACAGGGACTTTCACAAATTAAAATAAAAAGCCAGATGCAAGTATCTTCTCATTTGTTACTGATAGTTGACATTGACAAAACACTTCCTATGCAATCTGCTTACTATGAATTCTGATTAGACATTTTGATGTTATCCTATCACACACCTGATTTACAGATAGGTTGGAAATTAAGTTTTTGATACAATTTTCAGAAACCTAAATGAATTGTGACCCAGAGTCTCACTGCTTTGCAACAGGATTTAGAACACTTAAGCCCCATTTGCAAGTAATGTAGGTATTAACCTAAGTAATTTAAGATCTCTTGAATATCTTATCTTTATTAACTAGCATGCCAAAAACTAAGATTAGATAGTACTACAGTATGTATGAGTAACTGAAAATAATAAATAGATATTTTGATCTTTCAAAATTTATCTGTTTCACACTTACCAAAATCTAAATACTTATGAAATACAAACATGGCAAAGTAGAAAATTGTGTAACTACTGTAGTCCCAATCATTTCTTGTAGTGGTGATATTTACTTACTTTATTATAATACAGTTTTAATTTTTCTGGTTAAAATCAGGTGGTTTTCTAAAGATACTTTTCCACACTTTTCTCCAACTGGGACACTTTTCAAGGCATTAGATTAAAGTAGAAAAAAAAAAAAGTTTGAGAATAAATATAACGCTCCTGCATTATTTCTATTATCTGTTACCAATATGCTTTCACACTCATACTTCCATCAAAAGAGTTGCTTTAAAATTAGTTATTTTTTTTTAATTGCTACAGTTTCACACAGGATCCTGAATAACTTGAAGATACAAAACCTTATCTGAAATATTTAACTTCTATGAGTAGATTTGTTGGTATACTGGCAGAAAGACAGGGCATCAAGATGCATTATTTAAGATAGGTCTCCTTCAGTTTTCCTGGAAGATGTCTCCAGGCATAGTACCATAAGGATTTTTTTTTAATTACCTAATACTTTAGTGAGCAAACAACTAGAGAAGCTTTAGAAAAAGTCACAACATCTATTGACTTGACCCCATCCATAGGCACATGTAGTTACTGAAGCAGAGCTTGTATACAAAGGTTTTGTTCATTTTAACTATATGAAATACGTCAGTTTGTGTTATTCTCTTCAACTGTTTTGAGACAAAAGCTGAATTTTTTTTTAAAGATCTGACTGATGAGTAGATTAATTTGCTGTTCCCATAAACTTTTTTCAAATGGAATGGACTGTAAGCATGGTCTATATGTAATAGAGAAATCCACTCTACTGAGTGTAAAACTGACTGAATTTTAACTATAATATTAATCTTTGTGTCATCAGGGAGATACTTGTACTTTAAAAAGTTAACTTAGAATAAAATCATTTTCTTTCACTTAAACTAAGAAATCTCTTTCAAGAAGTAAAAAATGTTATCTGCTTCTGTTGAAAGGGGAAACTAGATCTTCTGACACAAAAGTAATATGAAAACACCTATCTCTGCAGTGCAACTCGAAGCCTTAGAGCACTGCTGCTCATGTACAGGAGCTTGATTTTTTGTAATACCTGGTCAGGGTAGGCAAGCATAAGCCACATGAGTTATTGGAAAAGTAGTTTCTGTTCAGTTGGATAACGGCTAATTTAGTTGATGTAACTCTTTTCTCTCACATAGAATATCTCCGGGCTACTGAGCAAGCCCAGTTAGACCTTTTAAATGAACATGCACAAGCCTGTCATGGTGAGCTTATTTGTAATGAATCATCCTAAATTCAAGTGCACAGTCATGAACTAGACAGAGTTATTTATTTATATTGATGATACCATTATTTTAGATGCCATTTCCAGGTGAGTCAATGCTACCTCTACTTTCTTTTGGGATGTCAAATAGGATTTTTCTTGGATGAAAAGCGGCTAACTCAAGGCTTCGTACCTAGAATTTTCTTGACACCTGACCATTTCTCTAGCATATTCACTCTTGTTATATCAGTTTTAAGTCAGTTATCTGCAATGAATTTCATATGAAGTGACAAGTTTGAGGCCAAGAATTGTCAGGGTGAAGGAGAAGACTTCCTGCAGAGAATCAGCATTATTGGTATAGCTAGCGCTGATCGTGTATCTTCCAGCCAGGTACCCTCGCTGCCAGCCCCAGCTTGCTGGGGATGACTAGCTCACCAAGGGCCATTTTGTAGAGGTAAAGATTTAAGTTGTAAGACCTTAAGCTATGCCCAGAGTGCATACTAGGAAATAGCAAAGAGATGGATTGACAGATGCTTAGTTTCAGGGAAAACCCATGGTCATCTCCGGATTTGTGCGGATCACGTCTCTTCCCTCTTTACACAATGCTATTCCATCTGGAAAAAAAGAACACTAAGTGTGCACTGGATGCAATTTATATTTGGATATATATTTGTTTTTACAGTTATAGATAAAGTTGGTGCCTAGTTCTATCCTCCAATAGTGTTTGCCTAATATTTTTACAGATATACCGGTTAATTTCATTTTCCATCCGTAGATCATCTTTTGTGCAGCAAAATGAGAACTTTTTGGAAATGTAATGCAATACCTGTACACAGAAGGGATGGCGACAATGCAATGTGTAGTTAACTATTTCTCCTGGTTCAGTTTTTCAGCATGTTTCTGAATGCCATGTACAGAAAATTCTACAGAAAATTATTTATATTACCTATCTGTTCCTTAATTATCATTCCACAAGTTTTAGTGGTTAGTGAATACTCAAGATGATTTGCAGAACCAGTATATTGTTAATCATTTGATAAGGGAAAACGGTGCCCACCATGTTGTTTTGACATTTGAGAAACCAGTTTCTGACCTTCAGCTATTTTGCATTGAGATTAAGTCCACACATTTACTGCACCTTACAGTTTTCTTGTTCATGTTGCTCAGGTAGTGTTTGTGCATTTAGGGAATTTCTGGTTTTGTGCACCATATGACTCTCACTAGTATTATCAGAAACCATTTTTGTGGATTGCTTGTATGTGCAAAGTGGTGATCTTGAAGCAGACTTCATTGGTGAGAGAACTGTTCCTCCTTGGGACTGCTGCTCATCATTTACCTGTAACACAAACACAAACATCCTATTGGTTACTTGGAAATGGAAAACCTTGTTATCTTTCTGCAGTAGATCAAAAAACTCACTGTGAAATACTTAGTGTTGTGAATTTGCAAAAACATATACATACAAATTAAAAACAAAGGATTTTGAATAAATTTATCTCTAAATATACCATATAGTGAGACTTCAAATCAGTGGCATAGAATAAGATAGAAGTATGTGCTACATAGCTGGCAAGCTATTTGCTAGGAGCAGTAGAAAACTAAACCAGGAACAGACAGTACTCTTAGTCTGCTTACTAACATGTTAGGTATTACATATTGAGATCTGCATTTAATTTTACAGTACATATTTTGCAAGCATAAAACATAGTTCTCACTGTCTCAACTGGACAGAAAACACTGCTTTAACATTTTAACTGATGTGCCGTCAAAGTATGCAATTTAAATTCTACCGATCACATCCGAACGAATAAATCTGCATATGAAAGTGACAGAGGGCACATTTTAAACATCTTGAAAAATTTTCAACAGTTTGAAACTGGCTGTCTTAAATGAAGTACATACAAGTAGCTGTCAGGGAAGAGAAGGAAATAAGGCTTATTTTACTTTTAAAATAAGACACACAATTTACTGTTTTAATATAAAGCATGAAATAACATGCTTTGATGGTTTCAACAGACAATGAAACAATACTTTAAACAGTTCCTCCAAAGATTCTCAGGTGTATATCTTCTTGAAATAAAACAAACAGCCATATTCAGTAACGTCCAAAAGAGAAGAAGGGCACAAACTCCTGGAACTGAAGACTTCTGCATATTTATAGCTGGCGGGAAACAGCCCTGAAACCTTTAATTCCACTGTATTCTCCTTTAGTGAATATAGTTTTTAGTTGAAGGTAAGGAGTAGGCCTGTGCTTAGGCCTAGACAGTATCAGCTCAGGCAAAATAAAAAACAATTTGGGAAATCCCTCCCCCAGTTATATTAAAAACAATTTATTACTGACTACTTGTTACTTGCTGTAACCTTGACTATGGTCACTGAGAGCCTACAATAAGGCTGTAGCATGCTGGCAGATGATTACTTAGTAACTTTCTATGGCTAAGACTTCCATTCTTTTTCTGCTACTGAGCTTCTTTACAAGCAACACGCTCCATCTGTTTCTAAAGTTACAGCAACACATATATAAATGACTGTAAATAAAATTTATAGGCACCACGTAATGAAACAGTAATGAAACACAACTCCAATCACTGTCTGTAAGAAGCAGCAAATTTT